TCAAATAAAGAAATAAAAATCTTTAAAAAAAAAAAAAAGGAACTGAAGGACTCGGGACCAACAGGATTCAGGGACTGAGGGTAAGCTGCAGGTCTCAGTGACCCCCAGGCTGCTGGCTTGGATGACAGACTAGATGGCAGTTCCAGGGTTGGAGCAGGGTGAAGCTCACTTGCAGACCGGCAACCGGGGAAAAGATAATGAGGTCAGGTTTTGACAAACCTGACCAGGTGGGATGCGGGGCAGACAATTTTATATGCATAGAAGTCCAGATGTTGAGAAGAGGGCTAAGTTAGTAATATAGATCTGGAAGCGACTGGCATACATCTCACTGTTTCTCAACTCTGGCAGAAGACTGGCATCACCTAAGGAGCTCTCAAATATACTGAGACCTGGGCCCCCAAATAGGATCTTCTTTACAGCTGACATTCCTAGCAAAAGGAGAGCAACAGTAGCAGCCCCCTTATTGCAGGATCAGATGAGTCCTTCCATGTAGACACTGATTTAATTGTTTGCAGGACGGTGCCCAGGCTGGGTGGGCATCATGGGTGCACGGCCTGTGCAGCCACAGAGGGTCCTGTGCTTCTGAAAGGTCTCATGCTTGTTTTAATTCTCTGTTAGCATCATCTTCAAGTCTTAATCATTTTTTTAAACAAGGGGTCCCACAGAATTTTCAGCTGGGTCCTCCATCTTGGGCCCAAGCACGGGTATTTTCAGACATTCCCCGGGTGATTCTAATGTGCAGCTGGGTTGAGAGTCCCTAGCACAGACAGAGAACAGCTCAGCCCAGATAATGTGGAGTGGGAAGTTTGGGGATGGAGCCCCTTGGAAACATTCACATCTATGGGAGGAATGGAGGAAGGGGTTCATGCAGGAGAAGCAGAAAAATGATCAGAGAACTAGGGAGGCAGTGTGGGGCGGGGGCTGGAGACCCCGAAGTTAAGACAAGGGAAGGTAATGAACACATTGAAATACTGCTGAGAGGTAAAGAGCTTGGTGTTCAGGATGATATGTATTAGCTCGGCCAGACCAGTTAGCCAACGCGGGATTGAAGGTGAAGAAGTAAAAACAGGGCAGTAGGGTTCCAAAGAGCTGGACCACAAAGGAAAGGGAAGAAAAAGGGCTGTGGCTAAAGGAAGAAAGTGATTGTTAAACTTTTTTTTTTAAATCTGATCCATGTTAATATTAGTAGGAGGAAAGCAATGGGGGCATGAAGGTAAGTAATGGAAGAGCAATCAAGCCAATGTTGGACGAATGGGTTAAGTAATTCTTCAAGTTCTGTGAGGATGGGCCATTCCTGACTTACTCATACCATCTTTGTGTCTGCCAGAGGCCCATGTCAGGGGGGGGCGGTTGAACAAGTGACAGGTGGCTGGTACAGGTGTCCTCAAGGTGTGGTCAGCAGCCAGATGGACTAGAGGGCAGTAGGAACCAGTGTTGGTCATTTGTGAGGAGGTGGGGGGCAATTGAGGACATGGACAGATGAAGACAGTACCTCTGTTCTGCAACTTTTCCACCACTTTTCTGTGGGCGTCTTTTATCTGCTGTGGGTCGGTGATGTCCATCTGGAGCACAGAGAGGCGCTCGGAGCAGGTTCTTCGCAATTCCTCTGCTCCTGATCCTGTTTCATCCAGAACTCCCACAAATACCGTGAAGCCAAGCTCATCCAGATATTTAGACAGAGCATGGCCAAATCCGGAATCGCCACCTGCAAATGGTTAAGGCAATACAGAGTGGGTTCAAACCCAAGTGGCAGGAGAAATTACTTAATAAAGAAAACACTGCGTACTATGTATGATTCTCCATGTTTTCTGGAGCGAGTGGGACTTGAGGACCTTTCTTTATCTGCTAAGTGGGAAAATGGGCAGAGAAGCTGAAACAGACACATTTATCTGTATAAAAAGAAGAAAAGCAAGGTAGAATTTGGAATGGGGGCCTAAGTAGGAGGAGGATTGCTGATGAAGGGATGGTCTAGGAGTGGTTGGTGGTTAAAGAACTGAGGAGGGAGAACTAAGACATCTACTGGAGATTTTTCTATTAATCTCCATTGTGTCATATTTGATGTAATCTCCATCACTCCATAAAATCTTCAGTGAGTCACTCATTGCAAATTAATATTTTGCAGTTGGTTTGGGGTTTTAGAAATCTAACAAAATGTTGGGTCCTGCTTCAGAGTGGACACAAGTCAACAACAAGAGGCTTCCCAGTTCCTTCTAGGTTATGAAAGATGGTGGCTCATAGCCACCTGCACTTGAGTGGGCACTCCTGTGACGATGGACTCTGAAAAACAAACTGAGGGTTCTAGAGGGGAGGGGGGTGGGAGGATGGGTT